TTATGTTTAGACTTAAATGTATATTTAGATCAGGATTTCCCCAAACTTTTCTTTGTTGAGGCTCCCCGGACTATAAGTTATATTTTCATGCCCCCCTTTACTTTTTCAATAAACACAAAAAAACGCAAATTATATGGGTACAAAGACCTGTATTTTAATTCTGATAAAGAAACTTTAAAAGTTCAAATAAACTAATAAGTGTTTTTTATCGAAAAACTCAACTAAGAGTAGGTGCTAATGAGATACTTGAGACTGATGTTCTGTACCAGTTTTGATTGATTCTAGTTTCTGTTTTTGCCAAGTGCTATCATCAGGTCGCTATCGACATCAAGACGATACCGCTGTTAAGTTTTAGTTAAAACTAGAGCAGAAAAGCCTGTCTCACATAATGAGAAGGAAAAGGAACTAGTATTCGTAGAGCAAGAGATGCAAGTGTCGAATTAACAGGCAATCTTTTGATCCAAAATTTCTCCAATGTTGAAAGATGGAAGTCATCTTTCATGGACGAATCAGCCTTCTTTCCTAGAAATTCTTCCTGAACTTCGTCTGGTAATTGTGGACATCGACAACAAATGTATTTCTTGTCATGTGCCATATTGGTGACTCTGAATTGATGTCTTCCAGCGCTTGCAAATGAGTTTTTATGACAAGTTTTAAATTTGCGTCCAGTATGTTATTCTTAATTGCTTCGAACATTCGAGAAAAAGAAATAAGATTTTCAGAAGACACTTCTTGATTCCAAAGTTGAAGCTTTGATATGAACCCCTGAATATACATAAACTATTAACTGTGCAGATTTAACGATGTCGGTGGATTCATCGCAACTAATGGCAAAAATGGCGATAATTTTACTTTGCTAATTATTTGTGACTTTATGTCTGCTATAAAAGACTTCAGTTTTTGCTCTGCATCTTTACCTAAAATTATCTGCGTGGCTTTCAGGATACATGGTTTTATTAATTCTTCACCGATATTATGAGGTTTCTTTTGCTGTGCTATGATAAAAGCTAATTCAAATGAAGCTTTGAGATGCTGCGATACACGTGTGTGATAACTTCCCGATTTATCCAGTCTCATCCGCTTGAGTGATTCTGCTTTAGAAGAAAAAAACTCTTCCGTCTTCAAAACCAGAGTAGGATGTTGTTGTTTCAAATGTCTTTCAATACGATTGGGCCTCATGCTATCATTACTTAAAACTTTCATACATATCACACACTGAGACAATTGTAACTCGTCTTTTTCTATGAAGGTAAATCCAAACTTGAAGTATTCTTCGGGAAACTTGCTTTTTTTCGCTGCCATTTTGCAACTATAACAATAAAACAAATAATTAATAAATATATAAGCAAAATATCTACCTGTAATTATTAATTATATGTACATTATCTTATCTTAATAATGTAATGTATCCAACAGTATATATGCCACCGGGAAATTTATATTTTTGTAGGCAGGTTGACGTTATAATAGTAATTTTAAATACATTTGGAATCAACATTACGTACTTAAAGTTCGTCGTACCAAAATTATTTCGCCACGTGGGTTTGATTGTGATGTGGTAAAAAAGACCCAATGGCCGATCTATGAACGCGTCTCCACTCAATCAACAGTTTAGTAAATTATGTAAAAATGGTAACTGAAGTTTGTAAATACACAAACATACCTTTTAACAGTGAGACACAATAATTTGACACACTCAAACAGATTTCTCAACAAAACGTGTACATCGAAAAGTCAAATTTTTCGCAAGTTTATGAGAACGAATGTTACAGATGCTCATCCGCGTCTGGTAGGTACACAATTGTTTTCTAAGTCTAAGTGATCAATGTTAAGCGGAGCGCGGCGGGGGTGCACGCGGATTTCATGTTGTGACTTCTCGAAACTTGTATAAACTGCGATTGACGAGGCCGGGCTTAGGAACAGCGGTTGACAAAATAAGTGAATATGATACTTAATTTCATTTTATGCGTGTAGATTAAACATTACATTGTAATGTTATTTGTTAATGGTGTTTATTTATTTTTTTTTATTTTTTCTTTCTGAAATGCAAACGCTTTCCGCTCCCTTGACATCTCTCTATGCCACCCTTGGGAGGCGCGCCCTCCTCGTTGGGGACTCCTGATTTAGATAATATTGGGGATTGGGGTTATTGTATTTTACTGGTTAATGTGTATAACTGTGTTCTGACAAATCTGAGATATCAAAAAATTAAAAAAACTGGATATTTTTAATTGATATCTTACTTTTTTTACTTTGCTAATTATTTGTGACTTTATGTCTGCTGCAATGACATCGATTCTACGCTTGACTATGTTATTCGAAAAAAAAAAAATACTTCAGTTTTTGCTCTGCATCTTTACCTAAAGTTATCTGCGTGGCTTTTAGGATACATGGTTTTATTAATTCTTCACCGATATTATGAGGTTTCTTTTGCTGTGCTATCATAAAAGATAATTCAAATGAAGCTTTGAGATGCTGCGATACACATGTGTGATAACTTCCCGATTTATCCAGTCTCATCCGCTTGAGTGATTCTGCTTTAGAATAAAAAAACTCTTCCGTCTTCAAAACCAGAGTAGGATGTTGTTGTTTCAAATGTCTTTCAATACGATTGGGCCTCATGCTATCATTACTTTAAACTTTCATACATATCACACACTGAGACAATTGTAACTCGTCTTTTTCTATGAAGGTAAATCCAAACTTGAAGTATTCTTCGGGAAACTTGCTTTTTTTCGCTGCCATTTTGCAACTATAACAATAAAACAAATAATTAATAAATATATAAGCAAAATATCTACCTGTAATTATTAATTATATGTACATTATTTTATCTTAATAATGTAATGTATCCAACAGTATATTAGCCACCGGGAGATTTATATTTTTGTAGGCAGGTTGACGTTATAATAGTAATTTTAAATACATTTGGAATCAACATTACGTACTTAAAGTTCGTCGTACCAAAATTATTTCGCCACGTTGGTTTGATTGTGATGTGGTAAAAAAGACCCAATGGCCGATCTATGAACGCGTCTCCACTCAATCAACAATTTAGTAAATTATGTAAAAATGGTAACTGAAGTTTGTAAATACACAAACATACCTTTTAACAGTGAGACACAATAATTTGACAGACTCAAACAGATTTCTCAACAAAACGTGTACATCGAAAAGTCAAATTTTTCGCAAGTTTATGAGAACGAATGTTACAGATGCTCATCCGCGTCTGGTAGGTACACAATTGTTTTCTAAGTCTAAGTGATCAATGTTAAGCGGAGCGCGGCGGGGGTGCACGCGGATTTCATGTTGTGACTTCTCGAAACTTGTATAAACTGCGATTGACGAGGCCGGGCTTAGGAACAGCGGTTGACAAAATAAGTGAATATGATACTTAATTTCATTTTATGCGTGTAGATTAAACATTACATTGTAATGTTATTTGTTAATGGTGTTTATTTATTTTTTTTATTTTTTCTTTCTGAAATGCAAACGCTTTCCGCTCCCTTGACATCTCTCTATGCCACCCTTGGGAGGCGCGCCCTCCTCGTTGGGGACTCCTGATTTAGATAATATTGGGGATTGGGATTATTGTATTTTACTGGTTAATGTGTATAACTGTGTTCTGACAAATATGAGATATCAAAAAATTAAAAAAACTGGATATCTTTAATTGATATCTTCGAATCAAAATAAAAACCTCAGAGTTGTGTAACCCTAACCAAATTTGCTATTTTTTTTTCTTTTGATTGTGAACTTATTATATATGGGATCAAGTTTTACCAATTGTTTGCCTAATTGTCCAGAAGCAATTGCCTGGTTACAAATTTTTATTTTGAATTCAGAAAGTAGGAAAAAGAGTAAGTTACACTTAATAAGGCCACCCCATCCGTACAAAAAATCTACTCTTATTCCTAATAATAAATCGATTTTGCACTCACATGCGAGGAACGCATTCACATATATAAGTAAATTCGACATCACTTTGAAGAAAGCTAGGATATTTTCAAGCACTACAAAGTCTGTACCAATAGGATGCTCCACATCCCATATATGCTCTCATAATCCCCCAGAGCATTAATGGTGCTACGCCTCTGACGCAACAGTCTGACATCGGTGAACCATCAGAACATCAAAAAAATATTTCTATCAATATCCGCGGTTTGACAAAAGGCACATCTTAGAATTATTGTTTCAAAAGAATAGCACATCAAGCCGATTGGTAGAAATGCCCCTCATTGACCTAAATATGACTGCACAAGTACGAGCCCCTTCCCACTTCAGTTGGCCCAACTATTGAAATCTTAGTTTTTTTCTTATCAAACACAAATAATAAAAATGTAGCAGTGTGTTATAGCTTTAAAATCTTAACAATGAATATTTTGATAATATATAGTAGAAAACACCAACTTTATCACTCCCTGATCAAATTTGCAGCATAAAAATAACACATGTTGCAATTACAGCATATCAACCTATTTTCATTTCAATGCAAAATAAGTCTATCACGCATAGGTGGCTGTGAAAAATAAAAGCCATGACAATTGTTTTTATTAATCACAGCTGTCAGAATACGTTTAAAATAGTTTTGGGCAGTTAAGGTTTTCAAAATGGGTAGAGGAAAGGTTATTAGTGAGAAAATTCGGTTACTGATAATTAAATTTTTTAATTCTGGGAAATCAAAATCAGAAATTGCAACTTTGTTAGATTTATCGTGGTACAATGTGAGAAATATTGCTAGAAGATTTAACGTAACTGGTTCAGTTAATATTAAGCTACGATATGTGAAAAAAGTAATATCACAAATGCCGACCGAAGAGCATTAAGAAGAATAAGGCGTGCCAATTATAGTGCGCCTCGCCTTCATAAATAAGTATACGTGTAGTAGCTCTGCTTGCAGTCAAATCTCACACAGTTCAAAGCAAATTTTCTCACCCTGGATACAGTCCTGTCCCTTCGCCACTCCGTCGAACCCTCATACTTTGTTTGTGTGTCGAATCGAGCGGTTCGTTTCCGGTTGGTGCGTACCTTGGTGCCGGGATTTTTTCAAATTGTGGGTGTCATGCCCGGGAGGTCAATTAAGCGAAGGCACCGTGGCCTCACGCGAGTCTAGCGCGGAAAGTGCGGGAAATGTGGGTGATGTAATGAACTGTCTTCGAAACATTCCTAAGAGATTGCGGAAAATTGAATATCGCCGCAGCCGAAGCCCAGTACGGAAACGACATCGGAGAGTAGTGTCGTCTTTGTCTTCATCGTCTCAGTCGTCGGAGTCCTCTCTGTCATCTAGATCAAGGACTCCCCCTGGTTCGAGTGTCATGGATCGGTCCGGGGGCCACACTTCAAATTGCACAGTTTCACCGATTTGTTTACCTTCGGCTGGTGAGAAGCAGGTATCGATGAGTGTACCTAATTATTTCGTCTGGTACCAATGAGTGTACCCAATTATGTCGCCTGGTACCAATGAGTGTACTTACGTATTTTGCCGGGTATCGATGAGAGTACCTTTTTTGGTTTTTTGGCTGGATGATAAGGTATCAATGAGCATACCTTCCGTTTATCCCGCTCTTCACAGTTTCTGGTCAAGTTGGGACGTGTCACATTAGTGTTGATGATACACTAACACATCCAGGTGAGTAACATTCGAACCTTTTTTTCGTACTTCAGGGTATCAAGGAAGTATACCCATTCTCTAAGCAGGTATCGATGAGGGTACCTATTTATTTCGTCTGGTACCAATGAGTGTACCCAATTATGTCGCCTGGTACCAATGAGTGTACTTTGTATTGTGTATTTTGCCGGGTATCGATGAGAGTACCTTTTTGGTTTTTTGGCTGGATGATAAGGTATCAATGAGCATACCTTCCGTTTATCCCGCTCTTCACAGTTTCTGGTCAAGTTGGGACAACGTGTCACATTAGTGTTGATGATACACCAACACATCCAGGTGAGTAACATTCGAACCTTTTTTTCGTACTTCAGGGTATCAAGGAAGTATACCCATTCTCTAAGCAGGTATCGATGAGGGTACCTATTTATTTCGTCTGGTACCAATGAGTGTACCCAATTATGTCGCCTGGTACCAATGAGTGTACTTTGTATTGTGTATTTTGCCGGGTATCGATGAGAGTACCTTTTTGGTTTTTTGGCTGGATGATAAGGTATCAATGAGCATACCTTCCGTTTATCCCGCTCTTCACAGTTTCAGGTCAAGTTGGGACAACGTGTCACATTAGTGTTGATGATACACTAACACATCCAGGTGAGTAACATTCGAACCTTTTTTTCGTACTTCAGGGTATCAAGGAAGTATACCCATTCTCTAAGCAGGTATCGATGAGGGTACCTATTTATTTCGTCTGGTACCAATGAGTGTACCCAATTATGTCGCCTGGTACCAATGAGTGTACTTTGTATTGTGTATTTTGCCGGGTATCGATGAGAGTACCTTTTTGGTTTTTTGGCTGGATGATAAGGTATCAATGAGCATACCTTCCGTTTATCCCGCTCTTCACAGTTTCTGGTCAAGTTGGGACAACGTGTCACATTAGTGTTGATGATACACTAACACATCCAGGTGAGTAACATTCGAACCTTTTTTTCGTACTTCAGGGTATCAAGGAAGTATACCCATTCTCTAAGCAGGTATCGATGAGGGTACCTATTTATTTCGTCTGGTACCAATGAGTGTACCCAATTATGTCGCCTGGTACCAATGAGTGTACTTTGTATTGTGTATTTTGCCGGGTATCGATGAGAGTACCTTTTTGGTTTTTTGGCTGGATGATAAGGTATCAATGAGCATACCTTCCGTTTATCCCGCTCTTCACAGTTTCTGGTCAAGTTGGGACGTGTCACATTAGTGTTGATGATACACTAACACATCCAGGTGAGTAACATTCGAACCTTTTTTTCGTACTTCAGGGTATCAAGGAAGTATACCAATTCTCTAAGCAGGTATCGATGAGGGTACCTATTTATTTCGTCTGGTACCAATGAGTGTACCCAATTATGTCGCCTGGTACCAATGAGTGTACTTTGTATTGTGTATTTTGCCGGGTATCGATGAGAGTACCTTTTTGGTTTTTTGGCTGGATGATAAGGTATCAATGAGCATACCTTCCGTTTATCCCGCTCTTCACAGTTTCTGGTCAAGTTGGGACAACGTGTCACATTAGTGTTGATGATACACTAACACATCCAGGTGAGTAACATTCGAACCTTTTTTTCGTACTTCAGGGTATCAAGGAAGTATACCCATTCTCTAAGCAGGTATCGATGAGGGTACCTATTTATTTCGTCTGGTACCAATGAGTGTACCCAATTATGTCGCCTGGTACCAATGAGTGTACTTTGTATTGTGTATTTTGCCGGGTATCGATGAGAGTACCTTTTTGGTTTTTTGGCTGGATGATAAGGTATCAATGAGCATACCTTCCGTTTATCCCGCTCTTCACAGTTTCTGGTCAAGTTGGGACAACGTGTCACATTAGTGTTGATGACACACTAACACATCCAGGTGAGTAACATTCGAACCTTTTTTTCGTACTTCAGGGTATCAAGGAAGTATACCCATTCTCTAAGCAGGTATCGATGAGGGTACCTATTTATTTCGTCTGGTACCAATGAGTGTACCCAATTAGGTCGCCTGGTACCAATGAGTGTACTTACGTATTTTGCCGGGTATCGATGAGAGTACCTTCTTTGTTTTTGGCTGGATGATAAGGTATCAATGGGCATACCTTCCGTTTATCCCGCTCTTCACAGTTTCTGGTCAAGTTGGGACAACGTGTTACATTAGTGTTGATGATACACTAACACATCCAGGTGCAATAAAAATGTTGTTTCTTCCAGGGCAAGGAGACGCCCCTCCTCCTGGTGTCGAGCTCTCAGAAGATGTTGTCGAAATTCTGGGCTCACCTGATACCAACACATTCATTTATGGGCCGAATTTACACAAAGATTTAGTTTCCCGTTGGCAAAAAGCTGTGGCCGCGGGGTTGTCTGAAGAGGACAAAAAGGAACTTTGCAACAAGTATCCTCTCCCCAAGAATTTTCAATACATGGCGGCCCCATAACTTAAACCGCTGGTTGTAAAGGCGATATCACCCTCAAAGGGACACTCGGTTGATGGCTCTACAGGGTCAAACAGCCGCATGTTTAGCCGCTACGGGCCAACTCTTTAGCTTAATGTTGGCTGAAGAGGGGGGGGGGGCAACCGAAAATACATCAAACTGCTCAATGATGCAAGCAGATTAATGCTGTCCGGGAAGACCATAAAACCAAAGCCGGCAAAATCGATTCGTAAGAATCGCAGTTGGCAATGAATCCAACCCCTGAGGTGCGTGTCGCTGGTAGGCCTAAACATTTCTACCCCAATTGGCTTAGGGTTTGTCAGGATAAATTAGTCCTTAGTTGGGTTAAAGGTTTAAAGTTACCATTTAGACATTATCCTAAACAACAAAATTTTGCAGTTACCTCATGGTCACTTCAGGATCAAGCTTTATCCAAGTTTACATAGTTAAATTACTACTAACAGGAGCCATTACCACGGCTTCGGCGAGTGATAAGCAGTACATTTCTAAAAATTTTATCAGGCCAAAAAACGATGGCTCTAATCGTCTCATTCTGAATCTGAAAAATGTCAACAGACATAGACATTGCAGCCATCTTAAGATGGAAGATAGTCGCACCGTAAAGAATTTAGTCCGCAGGAACTGTTTCATGTGTAAGGTGGACTTAAAAGATGCGTATTTTCTAATACCAGTGCACAAAAAATACAGGAAATGCTTAAGATTCGAATTTTGTGGGCAGCTATATGAATTTAGGTGTATGCCCTTTGGGCTAAATATAGCACCTTACATTTTTACAAAATTAATGAAACCCGTTATTACTTCTCTTAGAGCAAAAGGGTTTTTATCTGTTATTTACTGGGATGATATTCTTTTGTTTAGTAACACTCATGAAGAGTGTCTCTCTAATCTGAAGGAGACCCTAAACCTCTTACTTTCATTAGGCTTCCTGCCAAACTACGAGACATCCATTTTAGCCCCATCCCAGTCAATTCAATATGTTGGATTCATTTATAATTCGATAGATATGTCTATTCTTATTCCTCATGAAAAAGTTTTAAAATCCAGACAGCTAGTGCAAAAATGTCATCAGCGGAAAAGTTAGAGAATTTGCCAGATTGTTGGGGAAACTAGTCAGTATCTGTCCTGGAATCAAGTACGGATGGTTGTACACAAAAAACTTCGAACGGGAAAAACACTTAGCATTACTCGAGTCGAGAGGGAATTTTGATGCAATCATGCGACTTTCCCCAACACTTATTCACGATTTTAACTGGTGGTTTAATAATTTGCCACAGGCAAAAAACTTCATTCAAGTTGATTCGTTTGTTATAGAAATTTTTTCCGATGCATCAGACTCTGGCTGGGGTATTAGCTGCTTTGGGAAAAAGTCGCACGGGTTCTGGTCGGACATTGAAAAACTACATCACATAAACTATCGAGAACTGTTGGCAGTTTTCTTTGGGCTAAAATGTTTTGCAGCTAACCTATCTAATTGTAACATCCTGTGTCGGGTGGATAACACCACAGCCTTGGCCTACATTAATAAAATGGGTAGTGTGCGATTTTCAAAACTTAATAGTCTGGCGCGCACCATTTGGCAATGGTGTGAAACAAGAAACTTATTCCTTTATGCGGCATACATAAAATCAGCCGATAATAAGGAAGCAGATTTGGGAATGTCGTAGTTTGGAAACCGAGACGGAGGGGTCCCTGGACGTATCTGCATTCGAAAACATAGTTGCACAGTTTGGCAAGCCTGAAATTTACCTGTTTGCGAGTAAAATTAATGAAAAATGCAAAAACTTTGTTTCATGGTTGAGACCCCGAGAGAATGGCAATTGATGCTTTCACGTTGATTTGGGGAAAGCTCTATTTTTATGCATTTCCGCCATTTTCACTAATTTTGCGGGTATTGAATAAAATCAATCTCGATGGAGCAAGGGGCATTCTTGTCGTCCCCCTATGGACATCTCAACCCTGCTATCCTGTGTTTACATCCCTTTTAGAATGTAATGCAATAAAATTTCGGCCATCCAAGATGTTAATGTCTTTCAACAGGTCACCACACCCCCTTTGGAGAAAGACTACCCTGGTGGCAGGAATTGTATCAGGCAGGCGTTGATGTTGGGGGACGTTCCCTCGGAATCGCTAAATATATGTCTTGCATCAGTTACGGATAACACAATTAAGCAGTACAATGTGGGCTTGAGGCTTTAGTGGGAATATTGCAATCGAGAAAAAATATTTACACCCAGGCGGTTTTCTGCAGTACTTAAATTTCTAACATTTCATTTCAATAAGGGGTCTTCTTTTAGCTCTCTGAATTCATATAGAGGAACGCTTTCACAGATTCTAGGGCCAAATCTTAGTGAAGATTTCAGAATTATATGATTTTTCAAAGGACTGAGTTGCTTAAGGCCTCCGCTCCCTAAGTATAACAACACCTGGGATCCATGCATAGTTTTGAACTATATAAAAAATTCATATTCTACGAATCCTACTTTAGAACAGTTAACTCTCAAGACGGCCATGCTCCTCGCCTTAGCAACAGGCCAACGCGTCCAAACATTAGCTAGTATGGAAGTGTGTAATATTCAAAATTTCTCAGCTCGGTTAGAAATCCGCATATCTAAAAGGATAAAGACATCTGGCGTTAACAAAATGCAGCCCACATTGTTTTGCCATTTTTTCCGGATAATGTGAATATTTGCCCAGCCAAAACTTTACAGTTATATCTGGAAAAAACAAAGGCTATTCGAGGTAACGAACTGAGTTTGTTTCTATGTTTTAGAAGGCCGCATCGAATAGCCTCTACTCAAACCATCAGCAGATGGTTAAAAACTATGTTATTAAAGAGTGGTATAGACATAAGTTCTTTTTGTGCTCAGAGCACTAGACATTCAGCTACTTCTACCGCCTCCAGGAAAGGGATAAGCTATGATAGCATCCGGTTGGCCGCGGGGTGGACGGAAAAATCTAAAACATTCGCAAGATTTTATCAAAAACCATTAGTTTCTAGTAGGTCTGACTTTGCGGAAGCAGTGTTCAGTTTTGCCTAATGTTAAAGAAATTAGAAATAGTTGTTCTTGTTCACTATAGAGAAATAGTGGAGTAGTTAAGTTTGCAGTGACTAATATGTATGTTAGCGGCGCCGCTGTGACTACCCATAATTCCCTCTCAAAAGGGTGAAATGATATCGTTATCTTCTGTGACGGAAGGAGAAGCACGGGGGGTCCGGGGACGACTACTACCTGCGATCCCTCGCAGGTAGTAGCGAAGATGACGACAGTCACGTACCTAGGACCAAACAAAATGTGCCTAAATACGAAGTAAATGGTGGTACTCGGAATAAAGTATTGATTGGGGATAGACGTGTACTTTTTTGGGGTAAAAGCCAAATCAAATCTACCCCGTTTCTTACATATATATAATTACGCATATGTAACTTGATGATACTAAACAAATTGTTGCAACTTACTTTGAACTACTACACGTATACTTATTTATGAAGGCGAGGCGCAATATAATTGAGAGATTAAACGAACTTACCTAAGTGAAGTTTAATCCTAATTATATGAGCCTCGCCGGAATAAATAAGCTCCCGCCCTTTACTCTACCCCCCCCAATATGTTGCAACAATGCTTTGAACAGGTATGAGGGTTCGACGGAGTGGCGAAGGGACAGGACTGTATCCAGGGTGAGAAAATTTGCTTTGAACTGTGTGAGATTTGACTGCAAGCAGAGCTACTACACGTATACTTATTTATTCCGGCGAGGCTCATATAATTAGGATTAAACTTCACTTAGGTAAGTTCGTTTAATCTCTCAATTATACTAAATATAAATATAAATCCGAACACCCAGTTTAAATGGTTTTATTTTAATAGAAGTTGGTGAATGTATTTATGTTACTGTAAATAACAAGTGAAAAAATTTTCAGCCTTATCAGTTGGACATTCCGGTTTTTGTACTGCCTTTTTTTAATTCACTAACGCTCTAAAAATGAATATTTCAGCCGCAGTAAAGAGTCAACGTTGGCGGATTTTGGTTCTTGACATCGTTTACGATCGGTTACGATGCCTAGAGTACGGAGACCTGTACGATTTCGTCAACTTAGTGAGTTTGATAGGGGCCGTATAGTGGGTCTTCGGGAAGCTGGACTTTCTTTTCGGGCAATTGCAGTTAGAGTGCAAAGAAGTGTAGACACTGTGGTTAGGTGTTGTCAGGCATGGCTTCGAGAAGGCCGTACGCAAAGAGCAAGGGGCACTGGACACCGCCGTAGAACAACAGACCGAGAAGATCGCCGCCTAAGATTATTGGCCTTAAGGGACCGTTTCTCCACTACCAAGTCCATTGCAAATGAGTGGTTTGCAGAACACGGAAGACCTATTGGCATGCGAAGTGTTCACCGACGAATGAGAAGTCTTGGCTTGTTTTCATACCGGCCACACTGGGTCCTCCCTTGAACTCGAGAACACCGACGTAATCGCCTTGAGTGGTGCAGACAACGGTCACTCTGGGATCAGGAACGGAACAGTATTGTCTTTAGTGACGAGTCTCGATTTTGTTTAGGCATGCACGATGGTCATGCCAGGGTTAGAAGGCGACGTGGTGAAAGGAGGAATCCACAGTTTTTTGTTGAAAGACATGTTCATCACACTGTTGGAGTTATGGTTTGGGGTGCTATAGCTTATGGTTCCAGGTCACCTTTAATCTTCATCAGAGGTAACATGAACGCGCAGCGTTATATCCACGAAGTTCTAGAACCCCATCTTTTACCCTATCTTGACACCCTGGCAGATCCAACTTTCCAACAAGATAATGCCCGACCACATGTTGCAAGAGTCACAATAGACTTCTTTCAACATAATGATGTCACATTGTTACCATGGCCATCAAGATCTCCCGACTTATCCCCAATTGAGCACGTGTGGGATATGATGGGTAGGAGATTGCTCAATTTGCAACGTCCTCCTCAGGAGGACATTGACCACCTGATCAGA